CTGCATGCGTCTGTGGGGCGAGGCCGACCTGAGTCCAAAGTAGGGTGTATTGTTCCACCACAATGTGTTTAACACAGCATCTGGAGACTTAGTGCCAAGGTATCCGCATTCACGGAGTTTATTCAGTTCCATATGGGACACAGGATCAGTTCGCTGGGTAAGTCTCCTTTTCCTTGCTTTTTCAATGATTTTTGTTTTGATTTCAAAACCTCCCTCAGTTTAGCAAAGTGCATAGATTCCGCTAGCAGATGTTTGTAATCGTGTCGCTTAATGTTAAGTTCACTGTGGCTTATTTCTTCCACCTTTCTTGTGTCATTTAAACTTTCCTGTATACATTTGTGCTCTAAATTCATGTCAAGTTTAGTTTTTTTCATTGTGTTTTCATTTGCATTGGCAGTTAAGAACTTTTCGATATCATCATCGTTCACAAAGGCAAACCTCTCTGCATTCAGTCCGGTGTTTGGATTCGGGGGACGAAAAGGTCGTCAAACAGCAAGTCCTCTAGCACAGACGCTGGAAAACCCGGATTTGGTGGTGTTGATCTTGGTGCACCAGGAACAGTCTCTGGCCAAACTCTGAATCTTGGAACTTCAATCTGGCCATATGCAGTTTTGACAACACAGACATTAAATGTGTTCAGAGGTTGAATTATGCGAATGACTCTTCCTGTCAGATCTCCGTCCACTTTGACAGGTGTCGAACGGTCAGACATCTTTGCTTACAAACATGTTTGTAATTACGTTTATTGTAAACTGAAACTCGTGCGAAACAAAGGCTTTATCGATTATAATGTGAAATCATATGGTTGATATGAAATTATGTTCTTGTATTAAAAATCTCGGATCAGTGAGATTGTAGCACGTAAAACATGTGAATGAATGCCCTGGATTTGTGAATGAACTCAATGAGAGGAAAAATACACAATACCCACAACACACACACACACACGCACGCACGCACGCACGCACACACACACACACGCGAGCGCGCGCGCGCACGCACGCACGCACGCACACACACACACACACACACACACACACACACCACACCACCCCACCCCACCCCACTCCCACACACCCGGTACAATGGTACAAGGGTACAATGTGTGAAGCCCATTTCTGGTGTCCCCTGCCGTGATATTGCTGAAATATTGCTAAAAGCGGCGTAAAACCATACTCACTCACTCTAACAAAAACAGTAATCCATCCTCTCTCTCCCTCTTATCACCTTTGGAAAAGAAATACATACCCTATAAATAAAATCGTTTCTGTAAAATCGATTCTTATCATTCTGACAGATTTGTCTACAGTCATTCTAAATAAAGTAAATACAGCCAAATGGTATTGACATTCCTTCAAGAGGCAATGTTTACCTCCTGCAGGTATTTTGGTTTTAAAGATAAGAGGATTGGATTGGCGCACCTATTGTCTCGTCTTCCATATGACATTTACCTAAGGTTAAAATAAAGTGAAAACTATATATATCTTTACTTTGTGCACCAGTGTTTCAGTGAAAGGTTCGAGCAGTGAAGTTAGGAGGATGGACTTCGCATTTCTGGTGTTCTTGGTTCCTGGTATCCAGTGTATCATCACAAGTCAATGGAGCGTTGTCTCTAGACAACGAGATAGCACTGTGGGAGGGTTCTGGAATAGTTCAAATACATCCTTGATCCAGTGTGTCCATATGTGCTTACACTCTACGGAGTGCAAGGCAATAGCTACCAAATCCACTACCAAACCAAGAGCCCGACTGTGTGTGTTTCTGAAGCACAGATCTCCAACCAACCAAGAACCATCTCCTGAAGACCTTCTTGTCTTTGTGCCTCGACAGACCATCACCGATACCACGCCAAAGAACCCACCCTCAATGTTCACAACGGAGGTCATCAACAAAGCCTCACCAAGCACACATGAGAACACCTTTGATGAACTCCCACCTACAGCACACCCAGGTGGGCCAGGAATAAAGGCATCAAACCCGTACAGTATTGTCACAAGAAGCCCTCTGGTTTCACATCTTGCCACCACGAAGAAGACCGAACAACAATACCAAGATCTTGCAATAAACCTATCTGGTTTGGTTGTAATTCAGCAATACAATCACAGACAGATGGGAAATGCATTGTATACTTTAGATACTGGGAACTGGACGTTTAAGCAGCACAGAATGACTGTTGAAAGCAGGATCATTAAGGTTGTGTTTGATCCAAAGACGTATCTGATATATCGAGTAGAGTACGATAAGATAAGTCGGGGCTTCACAGTGAGATCAACTTCCTTGAAGACACTTGATGAGATGCGTCTGTTTGAAATACCCCATCCAAGCATGGTGGATATTAATGTAGATGATAATGGTCTCTACGTGGTCACAGAAACCTATACGGGAAGCATTTTGATTAAAAGGGAATTGGTCTACACTGGAAACATGGAACACGACAAGACACTCTTCACCTTTCCTAAGGACATAAATGTTGACAGTATGCAAAGCTTAAACGTGGACCCAATTCGCAACAAGCTATACTGGCACACTGCGAAGTCTCGAAAAAGGGTACTGTTGTATATGGCTGACTTCAGCATGGAACATGCCAAACCGGTCCAACTTGAGCTTCAAACAAGGAGTGCCTACCTCTACCCGTTCTCTGAGCTGTACTGGGCGGATGACCAAGGTGTACTGTCAGTGGCCGACTTTGAACGGAACGTGTCAAGGCGTGTTGCGCGATGTGGAATTCCAGTGAAGTCCACTGCAACGGTTGGGAGACACAACAGGTATTGGTATCTGACCTGTTATACTGGTATTAATACCAGGATCCGTATCTATGATGGTAAAATGAAATTCATGAAAGAGTTGCAAGTGAAGTTCAAAGGTATAGTTGCATCTGAATAGTGTTTGTTTGTTTGTTGTTTAACCCCGCACTCAGCAATATTCCAGCTATATGACGGTGGTCTGTAAGTAATCGAGTCTGGACCAGATAATCCAGTGATTGCCTCTTACGACAGGCATTGTTGCCTTTTACGCAAACATGGGTTGATGAAGACCTATTCTACCCCGGATCTTCACAGGTCTATTGAAATATACTCCTTTATCTTTCAAAAACGGAAATGTGACAAGGGCCAATTACGTCACACAACTGAGATCACTATTCGGTGAGAAACAATGTGCGAAACGTACTATTTCTTCAATTGTGTTTATTGTTCGCGTTTCTTGACATTCTTTTATTTTGTTCTGTGACTATTCTGTGTTTAAAATATTCGCTGATCTGTGTATAAAATGATGAAACATCGATCGTACTTACTTCTTTCCTTTTTTAGGTATCCTGATTACAGGTTACCGGTATTTTCGACTATGACAGTGACAATAGTTGTCGAGCTATTGCACAGGGCCAGGCGCCGTGACTTGTTTGTTATTGGTTCGAGAAATTTACATGGGGGCATGGGGCCACGGTGACGAGTAATCGTTGGAACGATGTAACCACACTTACATAAGAATTTTTTTCTGTCTCACATGTGTATAATAATATGCGTACATACGAAATACATGAATAATTATGAAAATATTGTTTCAAACATTCCTAACTGTAACTTATTACACTAAACACACCCGTGAAGATCCGGGATAGAAAAGGTCATCAACAACCCATGCTAGCCCGACTATGCTTGTCGTAAGAGGCGACTAACGGGACCGGGTGGTCAGGCTCGCTGACTTGGTTGATGCTTGTCATCGTATCCCAATGGCGTGGATCGATGTTCATGATACCAATTACTAGATTGTCTGGTCCAGACTCAATTATTTACAGACCGGCGTCATATAGCTGGAATATTGTTGAGTGCGGCGTTAAACAACAAACAAACAAACACAGACTTCTCACACCTTAACAATTTTCTCAGTTGACTCAACTTTGTGTGGATATATCTCTATGACATCATATAAAATAGACCAAAAAAGATTTCACTAACGCCTGGTGTGGTCCAGACTCGATGTTTTACAGACCACCGTCATATAGCTGGAATATTGCTGAATGCGGCGTTAAACACAAAAAAATGGGAAGGAATTGTTGCCAAAGAATCACATAAGTGTAACGTTGTGCAGTTAAATTCCCCAGAGCTTGCACCAAGTCTGTTCTACCAGTGTAGGAGATTCTTCCCACATCATCACGCTGCCACCACAAAATGTGTCCACTTTCTGTAAGCAGTTTGTGCTTGTAAACACGACGTCTACCATCTGCACGGTGAAGCACTAAACCAAACTTGTCTCCATCGCAGTTGTGGCCGTACTTTGTGACCTTGACATCATTGACATCCACGGAGACCGCATCCGTTGTCTAAAGCATCTCGCCAGAGACGGCCTCCTTGTCTTCTAGGTAGAGCATCTGCCAGGAGACCACCTCCATGGCAGACTGCATTTCTGCCCAGAAAGCAGGTCAGTGGTTGGATCCCCTAGCCACATGATACCAAATGATGTACTTGTTGTTACCCTACCTGGTATCCATTTCAAACTGTGGCATAGTATCTCAGTGGGCTAAACTCTCATTTCTTACGTTTTGCTGCTTTTGTGTGACGAATCATACCTGGTCCTTTAAGTATGGTCATTCAGACATGACTTTCATCTTCTAACAGCAGTTTATAGCAAGTCATAAGTGATGCTTTTGCTGGAACATTTTGAGTGATCACTTCTGTACGAGGAAGAGTTGGGCTCTACAAAGCGGCTTCTATCAGTATTCCAGGTGTGTCAGCTTGATGGGGGGAGGAGAGCCTGAAGTGAGCAATATTCCAGCTATATGCCGGCGGTCTGTGAATAATTGAGTCTGAACCAGACAATCCAGTAATTGATATCATGAGCATCGATCCTTGCAATGTGGGATCAATGACATGCATCAGCCAAATCATAGAGCCTGACCACCGAACCCATAAGACGCCTCTTACGACAACCATAGTCACCTTTTACGGCAAGCACTAATCTCCTCTGATGTCATAACCACTGAACAGCAGACCAAACGCACATCCTAGCCACTCACTATAATGTTTATTCATGTCCAGATGTGTTAGACTAAAACAGGGGAAAACAGTATAGGGCGTTCACAGCTTTGTACATTGCACCGCTAAGAAAGACACGCTGAGAGGAAGAGACACCAACACAGGTACAAGAGCTGGGCCCCAAACTAGAGTGTATTCTTTAAGTAGACTGACAACCTGACCCTAGTGTTGGTGAACTCTTCTCTCCTGCCGCTGTGTGGTGAATGACAGGAGATTCCTTGGCAGCATCAAACACAACAAAAACATCAGTATATTAGATAACCAATAGCACTCAATAGATGACCTTGTATTGATAAAAACAGCTCTGTTAGATACTGATAACAATAAATTATCTGAGCCCATCCTGGTTTCCTTTGAGGCAACACCAGGAAGACATGGTTCAGTAAGTATTATCTTTCAACAGACCAACCTTATTTCAAGACCCTTCTTGAAAGTAAAACAATTTCCCACATAATTAAACAAGTCATTCCATGTATTCTTAAATCACTTGTAGCAAATATATTTTCATCAAAGTAGTTAAATACTTTAATATTGTTTTGCCTTTGTCTCCAGAAGTATCAAGAAATTCTGAAATGAAATCGGTCTGTCTTTAATATCATATACTGGATGTTTCTTATGATGGTGACTGTCCTACACCTTCTGTTTAATGTATGCAGGCTTTCTTTCTGGTTGTGAGTGAGTGAGTGAGTGAGTGAGTGAGTTAGTGAGTGTCAGCTTGATGTGGGAGGAAAGCCCAAAGTGATGCAGGTCTCAGACGTTTACCACTTTGATGAAATCCACGAGCACAGGTACGGTGCTGACAAACCTAGAAATATAACTGGGGTGAACCAGGATCTGAACCAATGTTCATGTTTTTCAATGCCCAAAGGATGCTACTTTGCACAGCGAATTTCAGCGCCTTAAGACAACTGGGCCCCCCTCCCGTGCCCCCTTTTTTGCTTGTGAAGAGTGTCAGACTGTGAGCATGGTATTGATGGAGACAGCATTGACTATGTTACTTATTTAGGAGAACAAATAAACTCTTGCAGGTAAACCTACGTACACAATTTATTTGTTCAAAATGGCCAACACACATTCCGATAATCTCAAGTCAAGAGTGTCAAGAAAACAAACAAGACATGTAATAAGAGTAAAATATTTGATAAATAAAAGCAAGGTTACTACACAGATATATAACAGACTACAATGCTATATCCATTAGTGTGGTGTTGATAAGCTGCAATAATGTTGGGAAATCAACAAACTCCCATAATAGACGATTTCTTGGAAACGACAAGCTACAAAAAGGGTATTGTTTTGGAACATACATTTCAGCAAAACATTCCAAATGTTTCACTATCATTCATATTTCCTCATGCCATTCACACACAGGCCACGTTCTCATAATGGACTGACACCCTTCATTCTGAGGTATTAGATACAGAAACTTTGGCAATGATTAGGGTTATTCAACGAGGAGGTCTGTTAGACATCAGAGCACAAAAAATGAGAAGACACAGCTACTACAAACTAGCTGGTGTCATGAAAGAAAGAGGTCACACAAATCTACCCATCCTTATCTCTAACCATCACCAATGTCTTGCCAAATGAAATTAGAATAAATCTGAAGAAAAACAGAAAAACGTTAAACAAGAAGTGTGCGCACTTCCTTGCAAAACCAGTAGCAGCTCCATCCCTTCCATTTCCTCAAAGCGTAGACTCAATCAGTCAATCGTTATTCAGTACAGAAGAGGCAAAATGCCTTTAGTACATATGATAGACATGTGCCAAAAGAATTCCCCAGGGCCATTTTGGAAGAAGTCCCTGGAAGAACAAGCTCTGACATCAACCATCCTGGTGTAGTAGTCATTAAAAAAAATACCGGCATTAGCGGTCCAATTCCCCCCCTCCCCAAAATTAAAAGTCTTGTTTCACGGGGCTGCAAAATAATGTCAACACAGAAAACTGAAAACAAAAAACCCAAAACAGTTACTGAATCAGTTGCTCAGTGACCCTTTAGTGCAGTAATCAATATCATACTACCCAACATTTGCAAAGGACCAAAATAGTCACCTTTAGTCAAAGGTGTGGTCCTCAGCAAGTACCGAGTTATATATGTGACCCACCAGGAGAAAAGTACCTTCTTGGTACCAGGACCCAATTGTGCTCTGAAGTCATAAAGAAAGATGTTTGATGTCATCTTACTTCCGTAAAGTGTCATGTTTGGACTACAAAAATAGGCTATTTTCTCTCTCGTTAGTTGGTAATGTAATAAAACAATTTCAAAACATTTCAGCATACATTATATTTCAAAACTGCAACTATTACATCAACAGTTATAAGTCTGAAAATGGGCATTTTCAGAAAATGAGTCTAAACATTTGATGCCATGCGTCTCAGTAATAATTATGAATTGAAGCTTATGAATTGTATTTTTAAGATACCAAAGTTTAAAAAGATATTAAGATGTCAAAATGTGATTTTTCACTCGTAAGGTCTCTTATCTCATGGATGGTCACATATAACGATTCATTAAGAAACCAAATATACATAATAAACATTTACATGTGTGTTGCTTTGCTTAAAGATGTCTCCCTCGGGACTGATTCGTTCACCCTAAATCTTGTTCAACAATCCTCTATCACAGATGGTGTAGTTACTCCACAGGTTCAAGTATTCCACAACTGAGCAATATTATCATCAGTTACCAACAACATTAACTTAACAAGATAATTGATCAACTATTGTATATTACTTTCATTGGTCGGGACGCAAGACTCAGCCAGTGAGTCAAACAGGATCATCTGGGCATGGGGACGGGCCACGAAGAAATCAGGTTCACTTGTGGCCAGAGGTATAATTATACTTGTTTCAACGCTTCAAACATCCAACTTAAACTGAATCTTTAATCAACAGGACAATATTCAACCTTCAAGACTTACACTTACATCATAACATTCTTTAGAGTTTCTTTTAGAACGTATAAATAGTAGGACGCAATAGTTACCTTCAAATCTACCTCACATACTTCATTACATACTTATCAGTGTTTCTCTTAGAATGTATAAACAGTAATTTAGTTAAAAATCAAATGATCCAGGAGAGTATTCTTCACAAGAAGGCAAACCTTTTTACTGTGATGCTTATAACACTGCTAACTCCAGTAATGAAGGAAGCATACAGACATGGTAACACATAGACAAGAGAACCTGATCCAACTTGACATGTCCCCTCAGATACACATTACAACATAGGCATGACACTCCTCCAAACCTCTTCTCTGTACAGCTTTAACAGAGAACCTACAACAAAAGGCATCCTTGAGTAAACATTAACAGTACTAGCTCACAAGTAACCTAAACCACGACAGGGCAGGTGGGGAGAAGCAGGTCATGGACGTGGCTAGTGGATGTCATGGCAAGCAGAATGATGTGTCTCATGACATTAACAGTGGTTCACAGACCCTTCCTTCATGACCTCTATAGGACACCTGAATAATGTTTACACTGACAGAATATTCTGTGCTGAAAGAAAACCCATTATCAAAGAGGATATAGCTCCACCATCCAAGACATCCTCAAGCCAAATTTCAACCTACAAAGGATGACTCCATTAGAAGAACTTGGGATCCTTCTTATCGCCTTTCTGTTCACTGGCGCCTGCACCTTCCTTGCTGAAACAAGGAATGCTGGAGATGCCGACGATTGGGGGCAGGAGCTCCTTGTCCTTCATCTCTGTGGCGGTGATGATCCTCATGGTGTTGGTTGAGCCGGAGCCGGGCTTCCACCCAGTCATCACGACAATCGAGTCCCCTTTTTTGATGAACCCACGCCCCATCCCCGAGCTGATGGCCATCCAGATGCGACGGTCAACATCGGCAGTCCACTCATTCATGCGGCTATCTGCAAAACATTATATTCATCCTTCATAATTGGGGAAGGTATACTTTTTCTCTCATGTAACAGTACTTATTACTCATTATACCTTATTTTGATGAGTGAATGAATGAATCCCCCAGTCAACAAGATATCTGCTCTATCATGCGGAAATAATCATGTCTGGACCAGACAAACCAGCGGTTGATAGCAAGACCAACTTCTTCAGGTTTTGGAATTCCAGATTAAGATAGGTATTATAGCTGCCAAAGGTACCAAACTAGAAAATTAGAATTTGTTCGATCTTCTGGTCGGACATCAAAGCTCAACGATAAAGGAAAAGGTGTAGTTTCAGCAAATTCTGATATTATAGTGAGTGAGTTTGGTTTAACGCCGCTTTTAACATTATTCCAGTTATATCACGGCGTGTCAGCTTAATGTGGGAGGAAAGCCCGAAGTAATGCAGGTCTCAGACGTTTACCACTTCGGTGAAACCCACGAGCACGGGTATGGTGCTGACAAACCTAGAAACATAATTGGGGCGAACCGGGATTCAAACCCTCAATCATAGGTTTCTGGCGTGCCTAAGGGACCTAACTCTGCACAGCGAATCGCGGCACCTTACACGACTGGGCCACCTGTGCCCCCTCTGATATATTATAAGTGGAGTGCCTTGGCTGGACAGGTGCAAACCCCATATATAGACTTCATACCAGTCGATAGTCAAGTCATCGAAGCTAAAGGCTAAATAATAACCTCAATTTACCTGTGTCTATGAAAATGTATTCCGTGTAAATATTTTTTATAGACTGGCATGTTATTTGCATGAATTTATATATCAGAACAGTTGGCAGCTATGCAACATGACCTTGTCAGTGCTTCACAGGTTTGTAAACACAACATTCCTCCATCACTGGCGACCACACACAGCAGTTTCACAGAGTAGTCAATATTATTCCAATAATTACTCTTGATGAGGTCAATATGTGAAAACAAGGACCCAAGGACCTGACCCCTGAGGAGGTCAGACCACCGAAGGAGTCGGGTACGAGGGTCCTTGTTTTCATATATTGACCTCATCAAGAGTAATCAATCGTTGTTATACCGAAATTCACTTTTAAGTTAAAAAAAGTCTTTAAACCATCCTCTGTTTCATTACAGTAACAGTAAAATTAGACATGTCACTATTACATGACACAGGATCTGTATGAAATTCGGGAAGATGGAGGAACGCATTGTCTACAAACCCGTGACATATTGACAATACCATGGGTCCATTATTCAATAGTCGGGTTGTCATGCACCAGTGATGGCGAAACACTTTGTACAAACCCGTGACATATTGACAATATGAAGGGTCCATTATTCAATAGTTGGGTTGTCATGCACCAGTGATGGTGAAACACTTAGTACAAACCCGTGACATATTGACAATATCACTGGTCCATTATTCAATAGTCGGGTTGTCATGCACCAGTGATGGTGAAACACATTGTACAAACCCGTGACATATTGACAATATCACGGGTCCATTATTCAATAGTCGGGTTGTCAAGCACGGGGGATGATTTCAGGTTTAATAAACAAGACATGCTGGAAAATCAGTGTTAGTCTTTCAAACAGTAATAAACAATATACCATAAAGTCATAATAAACACTATGTATATAACAATAAACCTCAATAAACATACTATTATATTAAAGTTAACATTTAACAATAAACTTTATTCGTGTTTTATCATATTCATTTACACATCTAAAATCAACTTGAATCTGAAAACCTATCATTATCAATATCCAAATCAGGACTATTAATACAAAACATTAACAAATGACACATTAAAAAGTTACGACACAGAGCAAGTCAGAGAAATAACACAGACTGATCCCAAATGACAGTTCCACAGAAAATTGTAGACAATTCAATGGCACCGTCAAATATGCCACAGCTGACTGAAGCCAAACAGTCATTCATCCAGAGTGCCAAAATAATATTAAAAGCTATCCAGTTGAATAATGAGCTGATCGTCATGACATTCAATCATTAAGTTATTTCACCAATGATCATAAAACAAATTAATCATTTTAAACATCAAACATTTTTACATTCTGAGAATGTCTTTATCAAATTATTCAAAACTCTCCTGGATGCAAGCAATTTTTTTTGTTTTCACACAAAATATTTAACTTCTGACTCTTTGTTTGACTTTTTTTTCACACTCCTCAAAAGAGAAATGTTGCCAACCAGCTCCAACTTTTGTTTGTTTGTTTGTTGTTTAACTCCGCACTCAGCAATATTCCAGCTATATGACGGCGGTCTGTAAATAATTGAGTCTGGACCAGACAATCCAGTGATTGACATGAACATCTATCCACGCAACTGGGATATGATGACATGCATCAACCAAGTCACTGAGCCTGACCACCCGATCCCGTTAGTCGACTCATACATAGTCGCCTTTTACGGCAAGCATGGGTTGCTGAAGACCGATTCTAGCTTTCTCCAACTTTTCAAAAGCCTTTACCTGAGAACCAATTGCTATTCTTCTTCAAAAACATGAACGGCATTAAATCATTACCCTTATCTGGAGGTACAACACTTCAGCATCTTGGTACTAGAGTTGCTTTTTTATATGATCTGAATAAACTTCATTCAATATAACGGTTTGATTGGCATTCTAGAAGTTTGCAAATAAGTTAGATAAACGTACAGCTTTATGGATAACAAAATTTGGTTTATTGCATACAGCAAAGATTTTTCTGATTCATTCAATATGAAGGTTTTCTCTCACTTGCAGTAGAAGTAAAACCAAAACCAAAACCAAAATTATATAACAAGGCAACTTATCCATCGACCCACAAAGAACAATGACAGTACGACACACTACAGCTGTGACAAGGTGTGGAGATCAACAGAGGACACACACAGCCGCTTCACTGTACACGGCAAGCTTAGCATCTCAGACCACTGATTCTCAAAACGCATCTACAATTGTTTGGGCCTCCTCAAAGTAATCTCTGCTGTAGTAAATTCATGGTAAAGTTCGGGAGTTACGATAATCGGAAGAGTGATGTGATTGCTTTGTGACTTGGAGTACATTCCAGCTGGACCCAGCTTACAGGTCATCTAACACAAAACAATCATAGTTTTAAGACTGTTGTAAGTCCATATTAAAGGATGGGTGTTACGACAGCCGTGGAATGGGGCACTAAAATAGATACAGTGGTCCAGATGTTAAGTTTGCTTTGCAAGTTGGCCCAGTTCTGCTCATGCCAACACAGCACTATGACAGTCAGGAGATATTAAACAGAGTAGTCCGTGTCTGCCAGGAGACATTAAACAGAGTAGTCCGTGTCTGCCAGGAGATATTAAACAGAGTAGTCCGTGTCTGACAGGAGACATTAAACAGAGTAGTCCGTGTCTGTCAGGAGATATTAAACAGAGTAGTCCGTGTCTGCCAGGAGATATTAAACAGAGTAGTCCGTGTCTGACAGGAGACATTAAACAGAGTAGTCCGTGTCTGTCAGGAGATATTAAACAGAGTAGTCCGTGTCTGCCAGGAGATGCTGTAACATCTTGCATCTGTCCTATTACAATGTTGGCACAATAGAACTGGGCCTTCCACGGCACACCATACCATATCATACCAGACATTCAAAAAATATATTAACATTTGGCAACTACCGAAAATAAGAAGATCCCATTGTCCTCAGGAAAAACACAAACGGGCCCAATCACCCTTGGTGAGCGGCAAGTACATATACCTGTGTGCATGCACACCTATCATTTCCATGAGCTGTAAATGTAGCTATGAGTTTGTTCCATCTCTACTGATGATTCAAATTTGTGTGAGAACTGGAACCCAATTGCCAAAGTATGTCTGCTCAGTAAGACAACACATCAACTTTGGACTATGCTAATATGAAGGCTGATGTGTACATTACTATGGTGAAAAATTATTTAAAGATTACGCCTGTTGTGATGGCAAAGTCACAAATTAAATGGTACTGGATTATTTGTCAGATATGCATAGTGAAAAAAGCGCAAAGAGGTTTATGCCACTTTAAGCAGTATTCCAGCAGTGGTGGTGGGAGGGGGATGCGAGTGTACCTACCGCATTTGCCATACTAAGCGCCCCTCACCGAATCGTAGACCAATCTGTAATTAATCTTTATAAGCGCCCCCTACTAAGACCAAAAATGAACATGACAGTCTTCCTTGTCATGTGTATAATACAGAATTGTTCATAAATGTAAAGTGAGTGAGTGAGTTGGGTTTAACGCCACTTTTAACAGTATTCCAGTTATATCACGGCGTGTCAGCTTAATGTGGGGGGAAAGCCCGAAGTGATGCAGGTCTCAGACGTTTACCACTTTGGTGAAACCCACGAGCACGGGTATGGGGCTGACAAACCTAGAAACATAATAGGGGGGAACCGGGATTTCGAACCCACAATCATAGGTTTCTGGCGTGCCCAAGGGACACAACTCTGCACAGCGAATCATGGCGCCTTAGACGACTGGGCCACCCGTGTCCCCCCCATAGATGTAAAGGCACATGTAACTTCCCAGTAACTATAATCACAACAATTTTAGTTTTATAGATATTTAAACTAATTTTGCTCATGAACGCTCAGTCTCTGGCAACAAATGTAACTTGCTGTGAAGGGTTTTGATATGTTCCCCCCTATTTGTAAATTACCTAAGCCCCCAGGAGACTTATTGCGGCGAATACGGTAGAAGTTGCTATGGAAACCAGTTTATGCTTAGCGGACATTATTACTACGGATTAGAGAGTTTAAACAGTCACCATGGCTGACAACCCAATCATATCAAGTCTTGAGACAAGCTTGCTGTTGGCCTACTCTAATCTCCATGAGGAAGAATATCTTGGTCCCCTGTGAATAATGAAGTCTGGAAGAGGAAACAGACCATCAGTCATGTGTCCATCTGATACCCATTTCAGCAGGCTCCAAGGTCACAAGGTCACAGGGTCACAGGGTCACAGCCAAGGTAGGCACACCTAGGTGCCGTTGGTCAAAACAGCCTTAGCGCTACGAGTCTAAATATATGTTAAGGTATGGGAGTTACGATCACAGTACTGCTAAGATCGCTTCGTACAACAGTACCCTGGTGGTCGCATCCAGTGACATACTCTATTAAGGGGCTACGGGTGGCCCAATCGTCTAGGGTGCTGCAAATTCACTGTGCAGAGTGGTTCTCCCTTGAGCACGCTAGACACCCATGATAGTTTGAATCCCGGTTCGCCCCGATTATGTTTCTAGGTTTGTCAGCACCCTTCCACATCAAGCTGACACTCCGTGACATAACTGGTTGGTTGGTTGGTTGGTTTGTCGTTTAACGCAGCACTCAGCAATATTCCAGCTATATGATGATGGTCTGTAAATAATCAAGTCTGGACCAGACAATCCAGTGATTGACATCATAAGCATCAATCCACGCAATTTGGATACGATGACATGCATCAACCAAGTCAGCGAGCCTGAACACCGGATCCCCTTATTCGCCTCTTACGACAACCATAGTTGCCTTTTACGACAAGCATGGGTTGCTGTGTAGACCTATTCTACCCCAGATCTTCACAAGTGAGTGAGTGAGTGAGTGAGTGAGTATTGTTTCACACCGCTTTCAGAATTATTCCATCAATATCACATTGGGGTACACCAGAAGTGGACTTTTGCCCATTGTACTCATGTGGGGATCAAACCCATGACTTCCGTGTGACAAGCAAACACTTTAAACTTAAACACTCGGCTAGCCTACCACACCACACAAGTTAAAATATGACCCACTTTGCCACACTGACTCCTGGGATGTGGTGAAAAAGAAGCATACATACACAAGACTGTTCCTGTGACATGGTGAAACTAGTTCTAAGCAGGCAAGACTCAAAATATTAATCTTATTAATTAGAGCATCCAAGACAAAGGATTAATGGAAAGACAGTATGCTAAGGCTTAAATACTAAAAAAAATATATAGGTCTAGTTACCCGAGCCGGCAGCTTCATCTTGATTGGGGAAAAAAAAACAAGGACATATCAATAGGTGTCAGGGAAGCATCTTGTCACGGAGGGCATAACTCCATGCGTGTACACACATAACATGTCAACTCTGTTAGGAACAGGCTCTGCATGAATTAGTAACACACTGGCAATGGACACTCCCATTCCACAAAGCCATCTCAGTCTACCACAAATTCAAACCGTCACCGCCAGAGTACCATCAGTGTAAAAAATACCTGCCAAACAGATTTCATAGGACGGAAAAGGCAAAACAGTGATGGACATATGGATCACTGAAAATCAGTGATGACACAAGGTGTTTGTGCGATCTCATTAAATCAGAGCTTAGTCCTCGCTTTCGCTAAACAAAGATCTGAGGACATCCCATTACGGGTCACGTCTTTTCATCTGACTAATCAAAGTGTCGCTTGCCAGATCATGAAAGCGACAGCCGGAATGTGTTTTCTAATCATGCAACCTTGAAAACGTTAACACAGTGGCCCGTATGACTGATTCCGTCAAAATTATCGTCTATCTCTCGCTTCCTTGGGATAAACATTTGAACGGAGGAGGCGTTGCACAGTACATGGGAAGCACTGCCATACAATCTCAACCATAAATTAGACATTCCGGAATGTTCGTTTGTTCAGTTTTCAAAATTTTAATTGAGAATTGAGTCATCATATTTTTTAAGCGTAGTCTGAAATGGAAGTCGCCTGGTTGAAACGAGTGCCGTAAAGCTCGAGAAAGCTGCTTTCTAATTGGCTGATGTCGACTTCTTATTAGTCATGTCAGTGGTCGGTCAAAGTTCACGAAAGGTCGTTCTGACGTGACCTGTAATGGGATGTCCTCAGATCTTTGTTTTGCGGCAGCGAGAACTTTGATCTGATTTTAATGAGATTGGGTGTTCGTGAGAAGGGTAAGCGTGAAAGTATATCTGTTACAACACTGTAAGACTGCTTTGTGGAACAAGGCTGTGGAATGATGATGAAGATAATGATGATGGTAATGATGATGATGAAGATTATGATGCAGCAAGCTATCTTGAAACAGGGGATAGACATTTGTAGCTCTGCCACTGCTTTGTGAAAGGGGCCCCAGAATTGAAGGCTCATAACAAATTTTTGGGGGTCAGTTTCCCACAACCCTGGGTAATCTGAAACACCGGTTTAATGGCTCAGGATAAGCTTGAGTTGATTTTCAGGTCAGGTTGCTTAACACTACCACATGTCAGCATGCCCATTTCATCATGACCACACGACGAGCTGCGGCACAAACCATGTCCACAAGGATGCATGATGCACATTAGTTCCAACTCAACTACTCCTAATGGTGATCATTTCATCCATTGCCATTGGAAATCAATTTAGAAAAAAACCCCAAAAATATAAACTATTTATTCCATAAATAGGCCCCTTAACAGTGCGAGGGCACAAGAGAGAGCAGAATTATTCTGTCAGGCACTGACCATTTGATACATCAGGAGGGTCTGGGATTTTTTTACCCAAACGTTTATTCCAGAAATATATGGTTGGCTGGTTGGTTTGTTGTTTAAAGCCGCACTCAGCAATATTTGGCATTAAAACTCCAAACGTAATTTAAAGTTTGAAACCTATACAAAATTGAGTGAGTGAGTATGGTTTTTACACCGCTTTTAGCAATATTCCAGCAATATCACGGCGGGGGAACACCAGAAATGGGCTTCACACATTGTACCCATGTTGGGAACGAACCCGGGTCTTCGGCGTGACGAGGGAACGCTTTAACCACTAGGCTACCCGACCGCCCCCCTATACATAAACATTAATATCTGTCAAATTAAAGTGTCCACACTATTTTACTCTTCCTTTTCATCATGACAAGGGCACCCAAATTCTGAATGACGACGGAATGTTCTAAAGTGTACAGTACTTCACATGAACCCAAAGTTGACAAGCCGAATATGTGCACTCTCAAGTTGGCAGCTTCGATGATGTCACACTTCTCGCCATAAAGCGACAAATCACTATCGATGCGGCTGTTCGAAAATAGGTGGCGTTTCAACACAGTGATTGAACAAGCATCGTGCATATGGTGTCTCAGAGAACAATCCTAGTCTCCCACCCCAGAGTATCAAATGGTGGCTCCATCATCACTTTGGGCATGCTGACAGTATGATAGCTGCATAAATACTTGAGTCAAACTGGTCATATTCAAGCTGTTCGTGTATTTTAATCGAGAACGATATGCATTACACAGTACAGACTAACCCTGACCCCAAAACGTAGTTCACGTTAAAACTATGATGCTGAAGACCATGTGGCAATGCAATGAAATACTCTGATATATTCTGATTGGTTGATGAGATGGTCATGTGATCCATGCTGGAATAGAATGATCCGTCAGCCAATACTAATTCACAACAACAAGTACAACGCTATGGACCTGTGAGGGCATCAAGATCCTCCGGGCTGCAGTCTCGATCTGCTGAACAAAACAACCAGATAAGTTTAGTAAAGAAATCAAGAATCACACTCATTCAAAAAAGCATGCGCCATTTTCAGTCTAAATCAAAGTTGTTGCTATGGAAACTTGGATAATAAATTTTTCAAAAATCCCAAACTATCAAAAGGCATCAGTTTACCACTAGACCTATCTATGTGCCAAGTTTGGAGAAGAAATATTGCATGGTTTTCAAGATCTGCTCTGATAAGGAGCACTACCGCCATTTTCGGTCTAAGTCAAAGTACTTGCCAAGGAAACTTGAATTAATAAATTTTTCAAAAATTCCAAACTATCAAAAGGCACAAGTTCACCACGAGACCTATCTATGTGCCATGGTTAAGATATCTCTCGTGGGTTTTGAGTACTGCACCGGAAACGAAATGAGACAGAAGGACGGAGAGACAGCACCCATTCCTATATCCCCCTTCCACTTCGTGACGGGGGTTAATAAACAACAGGCACAAAACAGGAATAATCAATGACCTTGGCATTTTAAACACCAAAATAATTTTGTGTGCACACTGAATTCCCTCAGCTCTATGCAATGATACAACCTTCTGTCACACACTACGTTTACAATAGAACATGATTAAAATACCGTAATCATACAAACAATTATAATAAAAATTATGAAAGTCCCTCCAATAATTACATATTTTCACATTTTTTATTCGTTTGTTGTTTAACGCTGAACTAAGCAATATTCCAGCTATATGACAGCAGTCTGTAAATACAAGGTTTGGACCTGACAATCAATTAATTATATACTTTGAACAATGAGAGAATCCAAAATGAGAGAAACAAACTATAGGTAAAACGAACACATGTCCCTAGTGCCTTGGCATTCGCTGTAACCAAGTTTTACAGCATGTGAACAGATTCTTCACACAATCTATTCCAAAAATTGTTTTTATTTGAGAACTGTCAGAGAAATATACCCAACTGCTAAAGAAACGCATAACTCAAAGAAACGCAAAATTAATGTTTAATACTTTAGCATGATCAATGTTGATCGTTACTAATAGATTTGTTAAATTCAACATGTTAGCTTTAATCACCTACAAAAAATATCTTTCTAGCTCATATAGTTTCCAAGATGTAACCCTTCAAACTTATCCGGCATGTGCGTTTCTTTTGTAGTTGAGTATATATAACATATATCATATTGTTTTTTCCCCAAGATCAGTGCACAATTAAGGATACTAATGTCCAAATTTGGGAAATTTCTCTTTGTCTGGCGGTACAATTCCAACTGTTTGTTTGTTGTTTAACGCTGCACTCAGAAATATTCAAGCTATAAGACGGTGGTCTGTAAATAATCAAGTCTGTACCAGACAATCCAGTGATTGACATCATGAGCATCGATCCACACAATTGGGATACAATGACATGCAGGATGTCTGTTGAAAAATGTAAAAGTTTTCTCGATCTTTTATATTTTTTTATTTGTGTGTTGTTTAACACCGCACTTAGCAATATTCCAGCAGTATGACGTGATGGTGGCTGGTAAATAATCAAGTGTTGACCAGACAAACCAGTGATCAATAATGTGGCCGACGATCCCCGCCATCACGTGGGTGAAACAAGTCACGGAGCGTAACACTGATCCATTTGATCCAATTATGACCAGCATAGGTCGCCGAGAACCTAGGCCCAGTTCCACAAAACCATTGCAGTGCTAATATGATCATTAGTCTATGTTAAAGAATGGGAATTACGATCACCGTAGTGCTACAACTATCGTAAGCCCATGTTGAAGTATGGGAGTTACAAATACCTTAGTGCTACGTCTATCGTAAGCCCATGTTGAAGTATGGGAGTTACGAATACCTTAGTGCTATGACTTTCGTAAGCCCTTGTTGAAGAATGGGAGTTACGAATACCTTAGTGCTACATTTATCGTAAGCCCATGTTGAAGTATGGGAGTTACGATCATCTTAGCGCTACGACAATCATAAGCCTAAATTTAAGCATGTGAGTTACGCTACGACTATCATTAACCCATATTAAAGTATGTGAGTTTTGCGGAACGGGGCCCTGTTTCTACCTGGAATCCCTACCAGGTGGCTGCTCAGAACCAGTCTAAAGTAACATAGTATATCAACAGCAGATTGAAACCTCAGAAAGGTGACCCAGAATCACGTTCAACTGGAAACCCAGTCACGACTACTTAGGACCTCAAATTGAAACATCAGAAAAATAAATATTTCCAAGTTTATTTTAATCAATATATGTGTTCATATAAAACTCACTGGTAAAATATTTTCAATGAAAAGAATAACATAAGAAAAGAAATCTGATCTAAAAGATCACTAAAACAGTAATGCTGAACAAAATGCATTGAACTACTCCAGGCGAGTTAGACCTGCAACCAACAAACAGAATCATCTCAACATCATAGATCTGACAGATCTCGCAACAAGGCCTCAAAACAAACAAGGTAGGGGCTGGTAATTTATTATGGGGAAAGGGGGCAGTGAAATTGTTGTTTGTAGGCCTGTGTCATACTGCCCAATCCCAATTTATTTAACTAGTCCCTGAATAATGTTCAAATTCACTTTTAATAGGACTGTAATTTTTTCATGACACCCCCCACCTTCAACCCCCCCCCCCGACATACCCACACACAAAAATCTTACCAACCCACCCTTCCTCCATACAATAAATTACCAGTCCCTTTTTCGACAATGCAATCTTCCTTTTTTCTTCACAATGGATTCATTACATTTGTCATTTCATTAAACTTATATTTATTAACGAAGTGTGTGTGTGTGTGTGTGTGTGTGTGTGTGTGTGTGTGTGTGTGTGTGTGTGTGTGTGCTCACTGAGATTCCATCCCCCAAGTTTAATACAAATACCCTACTCAGACACAGTATACTGACTCCAAGCTGACCAGTCCTTGTTTTAACCCTTAATGTAGACCGCCAGACAGGGTAACAACAAGTACCATCTTTTAACGTCTTTTGTTATGACATGTTTGGGGATCCAACCCCACACCTTCCGCTCTCTGGGCGGACTCTCTACCACTCGACCACGGAGGTGATCTTGAAGTTTGGAATTTCTAATAAAGAACATTTCCTGTCACCAACATCCAGCAACACACACACAGGCATGCACCATTTACCCAGAGTACCCTAGCCTTCATCACAACATCCTGCCACACACACAGGCATGCACCATTTACACACACACACCTGGCCTTTTATTGGTGAAATGCAGATGTATGTTTAAAATGTGATCCCAACCCATGCTTACATCACCCCCAACAACCACAACATGTGACAATTAATCACCAGACTTGAAGTAAAACATCAAGATATCAGAGAAATGGAGATCGGCTAAACAAGGTTTTGCTGAAAACACAATCGGCGAATCTGTAAACGAGCATTGACCTCAACATTAGTTAAAGACATCCACCTTCAGCTGTAGCTGTTTCAATGCTCACTCTAATCTCCGATCTGTCATGCATTGCCTTTGAACACACTAAAGCAGTATTCTACATCCACAACAATATGGCACCAAATACCTTTGCCATCGAGTCAATCAACACATGCCTCTCCACAAACTGCAGCATCAACGCCTGATTGGGCTGCAAAATCTATCTCCACTGTGCTCTTATTACCATATAACAAGGGACAACTGACACGTTTTCGATGGTTATTCTGCTACCAAAATATACATCAAGTCAGTGCATTAATTCTACCTTACCAGCAACAGAAATTGGCTCTCGTCCTATAGTCCTTGCCAAACTGTCCAATAGTTAAGCCATCATAAAGACTTGTAGAAATTTAACATCTTAAAAGGTTTTGCAATAAGATTAATATTATTTTTCAGGGCATTATCATTTGCAGAAGTCCGAGGTCTGCCATTCACTCCCTGATGAATGAAGTCAGTTGATAGACCGAGGGCTCCTACAAAATGAAAACTGCCTAAAAAATAATGTTACTTTTATTACAGCAAAAGACAGAATTTGTTACTAATCCCCAAATGAACACAACAACAAACAGCCGCAGAAGTTACATCCGATAAGATGACGGATAATTCTATCCAATTTAGCCATAATCATGATATAATAGAAGAATGGACTAAAACTCAGTGCCTTACAAGAAACAAAAGAGTGAGTGAGTGAGTATGGTTTTACGCCGCTTTTAGCAATATTCCAGCAATATCACGGCGGGGGACACCAGAAATGGGCTTCACACATTGTACCCATGTCGGGAATCGAACCCGGGTTTTCGGCGTGATGAGCGAATGCTTTAACCACTAGGCTACCCAACCGCCCAGAAACAAAAGAAGTTTGGTCACACATTCAAGGTCAGCATTTCAATACTCTTCAAGATCATGTTCAAAGACGGTTCTGCATCGACAATTTCCAGGCAAGATACACTTTTTCACGTTCGCAACTGCGCCCACCCAGGTCTCGCTCCTTGGCCCGAGCTCCTGGTGCGCTAATCATTGTAGTTCTTTATGATGGGCGTTCCTACGATGGGCATCCCGTCCTGTTCGGGGACGGTGATGATGCGCAGGGTGTTGGTGTACCCCGACCCCTGCTTCCACCCCGTCACAATGATCACAGAGTCTTCGGGGTGCAAAAATCCTCGGCCGCGCCCTACCTTGAGGCAGCAAGCGATACGATTGTCCATGTCTTCAGTCCACACGGGCGTGCGTTCATCTAGTGTAACAAGCAGACACAAGGAAGGAGGTGAAGGAGAAGGCCAGGCCAGTGCCGAGCCAGGAACTGCCCCGAGATGTCAGTCTTTTCTCGTAAACTAAACTGGATGTCAGCCACTGTGCATCTCTGATGCTTCACGGATTTGTATACACTACATCCCTCCATCACCTATGAATACATCAATTGGGATCGATGACATGTATCAACCAAGTCAGCGAGCCTGACTGCTCAATCCCGTTAGTCGCCTTTTACGACAAGCATAGTCGCCTTTCACGGCAAGTATGGGTTGCTGAAGACCTATTCTACCCCG